GATGGCTGAAGTTTAAGTAACAGTTAATGCACCTAATTTCAGTATAGGAAATACACTAAGAAAGCAGTAAGAGCTCCTCTTGATCTTCATAACTAATGAGAACTGCCATGATCCTTCAACGTATTTCCACCCACACTTTCTTTTATTTTAACAAGTGTGTAGGAACACACAGCAGAAAGCCTTCTTTCAGAGCATTTTCCCTCGCTCTCTATGAGCCACGTGTGCTCCCCTGAAGGGTCCCGGAGCCAGATCTTGCCCCCCCTTGTTGAATCCTGGCCAACAAGCCTGGTTTCTTTGGGTGAAACAAAAAGAACCTTCAGACAAGAACCTACCTAACACGTGCATCGGATCTACAGGCACCCAAATAAGCATCATCAGCTCCAATTGAGCGTTTCTGGAAGGAGGATGAGTGGAATTCATATCACTTAACTTCAACCATCTCATTTGGTGCCTAATTCTCCACTCCCCCCTGTAATCCTCGGGTGGAAGCGTGCGTTGTTAGGGAGCAATTAATCCATTTTAGACATCTGCAATATGATGAGGGGAATTGCACCCCGGTGCCTGTTTCTCTGCACTGATTATATAGGAAGTCTAGACAGTTGGCTTGGATGTAGATGCCTGGAGATAGACAGGAGGCTTCTTCCACCTAAGGAGATACAGCAGAATCTGCTGGGCATTAGAGACTTTGCAGTGGCTCTTGGTTGGAAAACAAAGACCTGAAAACGTGGCACCACTTGGCTGAATCACTGCAACCCTGCGAGGTCTGAAGAGTTTAAAAGCTGTTTAGAAGAAGTTTCTGAACTTTTGCCTTGGCCTGTGGGTCAGGCCCACAGCAGTCACTGATCCTCAGGAGAAGAAGTTCTTTCAGCAGCTCTGTAATCAAAGGGAAAAAACAGCTTTTTTTTTACATCACTGCTTTAATCTTGTTTCTCCCGCCGATGCTGGAATTCTGTGCTTTGCCACCAAACACTATTTATAGCCTCAGCTTGAATGAACAGTAAGAACTTACGCTCTTGTTGCGGCTGCATCTTTGAGCTGATGGAAATCACGGAACTGCAAGTTGACAGTAATGAAGTTGCACAATATTTTCAAAAAACCAGTTGTTTCTGCCACCCCTCAGTTCCCACAGCACCCTGGCAGGGCAAAGGGATGTCTGTGGCAGGGATTTCTCGGCACGTGATAAGGAAAAGGCTGAAAGGATTCAACTCTAAAGCTTTTGTTGGCTTGTGGGGTCCTGATGTCACCACTTCATGTGGTCTATATCTGCTCTCTGGGGCCTTCAAATGTAACTCCCTCTGGGGAACAAGTGCAGGATCAGGGCTTTGGGAAGCGTCACCTCGTGGCCTGTATCTGCTCTCTGGGGCCTTCAAATGCCTCTGGGGAACAAGTGCAGGATCAGGGCTTTGGGAAGCATCACCTATTGGTACGTGGCAAATCAAGTGTCTCAAGTGTCCCATCAGCTCTTTGCAGAGAGGTGCTTCATCTCCTGCTGCTGGCTGGTGAAATGGAAAGATTCTTGAACGCTCTGGCCATTTCTTACCTGCTCTCCTTATTCAAACAATACACAGCGTCACCTATTGGTACATGACAAATCAAGTGTCTCATCAGCTCTTTGCAGAGAGGTGCTTCATCTCCTGCTGCTGGCTGGTGAAATGGAAAGATTCTTGAACGCTCTGGCCATTTCTTACCTGCTCTCCTTATTCAAACAATACACAGCAAAACACAAAACGTTTGCTCTTTTTGTTTCCCTAGATGCACGTGTGAGTATTCCCTTGGTTTTTACGTTACTTTATCCGTGTAATGCTTCCATTTGTCAGGATAATTTAAAAGAAAACAGCTGTGAAGCTTTTTAGTGATCCCAGCAGCTAATGCAAACACTTACAGAATCAGAATAATGGATCAGTCAAGCGGAGACAGTTTTGACTATCTGTGAGAAGCCGCTTTTCAAAACAAAATATACATCATATCCATAAAATAGGAGGGTAATAGAGAGCAGGAGGTTTGTCAGGCGCGTGTGATAGCCCAGAAATGGCAGAGATTGCAAACCAGCTTTTTACGTGTAATTGTTTAATTGAAAGTTGGGACTCTGCTCATCTGTGTAGAATAAACAAGTTTCATAGGCTGAAACTTAAGTGTCTCCTGTGCTTCTCTGTGTCTGGGATCATCAGTCCAGGGGTGTTTCCCCACACACAGCCCCGTGAATAAATAACTGGTTATTGGGAAATAGCAGTGCTGTTCTGAAGAGTGGTAGGATTTCAACATTTATTTTCAACCTGAAGCTTAGTTTGTGAAAAGCAGGTAGAACAAAAGCCAAGGGAGAGCTTTGTGGGGCAGCGCTTGATGGCAAAGACACAAATCCAAGTCTACGGGCGCTTCAGTCACATCATGCTCTGGCCCTGGATGATCTTTCCTTCTCTCCCTGGAAATTCCCCTGAGAAAGTTTAGTCAGAGAGGCAGATTTGTCTAAAGGATTCAAGGAAATGACCTAAGAGCTGTGCAATTTTTCCAGCTTCATCTTATTGAAGCCAGTGGGCTCGGTTCTCCTCTCGGTTTTGCGTCAGCGCTGCAGAACGCACTCGGTGGTGTGGGTCCGTCTCTTCTCCAGGGAGCGTGCAGCGCCTGGCACCACGGCCAGGATGTCTCCAGTCACTGCTGGAACATAAAATATAAATAGATCATAGAATGGGTTGGGTTGGAAGGGACCTTCAAGATCATCTAGTTCCAACCCCCTGCCCTGGGCAGAGACACCTCCCACCAGACCAGGTTGCTCCAAGCCCCCTCCAACCTGGCCTTGAACCCCTCCAGGGATGGGGCAGCCACAGCTTCTCTGGGGTCTCACTACCCTCATGGCAAAGAATTTCTTGCTAATACCTCATCTAAATCTCTCCTCTTTCAGTGTAAAACTATTCCCCCTCATCCTAGGGCTCCCCTCCCTGATCAAGAGTCCCTCGCCATCTCTCCTGTAGGCCCCTCTCCTGCCTTTATATATATAAAAATATATATTTTCTCTATAATATGTGACTATATGCACACAGAGCCCTTGGGATGACTGAGTTCTAAAGAAGAAAACCAAAGTGCTTGTAAAAATCCAGACTTCTGCTGCTGAAATGGAGAAGCCATGAGAAAGGTGCCAGCCTGCGCCGCAGCGTCTCGGTCCTGGCCCCCCCTGTCCTGCAGCGATTCGAGCCCGAAAATGGGAATGGCATCGAGCTGCTGGGTGTACCATGGACTATCAGCAGGAAAAACAGAACCCCAGACTCACTGACCTCCTCTGTCGTAATGTAGGGCTGTAAATGAAACATTTATATGGAAATTTTTGTAATGAGAACAAATTAAGGTATGTAAGATACAGCATTGATCAAAAGTGAGAAGGTTTAACTTCTGAGCCATAACAGATTTGAAATCCTACCCCGAAGCACCTCAAAACATTAAAGAGGATTTATTTTTTTTTAAGCTGCTCTAAATTTACACTCCTCCTCCTTACAAAATGCACGTTAGTCCCTCTGGAAGTCGCACCATCATCGCTCCACCGCTATTTTGGTACGGAGAGAAACTTGGACCCAAGGATACGAACTGGCCGAGCTGGCAAACGGAGGGTGAAGCTGGACAGGGATGTGAGACCTCCTGTTGGAGCCCAGAGCCTGGTTTTATAGGCACCTTCTCATCTAGCTCTTCTCCTGGTGACACACCGTTTCCCTGGGCAACTACGGATTAGAGAGGCGACAAAAAATCCTGTATCCAGAGCTGCAAAGCAATGGGTTGAGTTTGGATGTAGGGAAAATACCAGGGGAGGACAGTGAACCAGCAGTTGAAGCAGAGACATTGGACTCAGGTGCTTCAGGTTCTATTTTTGACTTGGACCAGCTGTTTCGCTTCTCTTGGCTTTGCCTCCCCGTCTGTACGATGGAAAATGGGGATGTTTGTGGCTGGGTTGTCCTGCTGAGGCTGGGGTTGTCACATCTCGTGTCTGGATGATGGTCTGTTGATTTCAGTGTTGTTCTTCTCTGCTTTGCTGCCAGCATCTCCTTCATTTGCATCTCTGCTGTCCTTTCCTGGGCTCAGAGTCACAGCTCCATACGCCCAGTGTCACCAAATTTCAGGATTGTTGCCAAGTGGGACCTTCCTCTTACTCCATGGCCTGGAGCCTCCAACCATAGTGTCTGATGTGCAAAATCACCGCCTGCTGGGGGACGTGGGGTGTCTGTAGAGTACATTGGATATAGCTGTGGCCCTTGTAGGAAGCACTTTCACTCCCGCCCAAACTGAAGATGCCATTTGAGGACATCTTTAGCTGTCCCTACACCCTGATTCTCCATCCAGTGTCAGCCCAGGTACTGCCCTGGGAGTGACCAGCAGGGAGGTGGTGAGGGACCAGTGGTGATTATCAGCTCAGTCCACCCTTCCTGGCTTTGAATGAATGAGGTACCAAGGCTGCAGGTGCTTTCTCTTTGTTGAATTCCCCAGAAAATCCCTGGTAATTAAGGCTCTCTCCTTTTCTTTTTTTTTTTCTTTCTTTTTTTTTTCTTTTTTTTTTTTTTCCAGGAAGCACCTCCAGCTCCTCCTGCCCTTCCCTTCCCGTATCAATCCCATTTGCTCCCACCTCATTTCAGGTGTGCTTGGAGAGCTCCTCCTCCTCAGAGACCGGCCCCACAGCGGCGAGTAGAGGGAGACCGCATCCCAGCCGGGCGAAAAGGTGAACTTAGCGGCAATTCCATCATTTTTATTTTAAAGGAAGGAACGCTAGGAGCTTGCGGGCTGCCGGGAGAAGCCTCCGCGCTGCTTTTCCACCCTCCCGCCCGGTTTCCGGCGGCGCCGGCGGCCGCCAACCAAGAGGATTTGGGTGCGGGGGGCGGCCCCTGGTCCGGCCCCTTTGTTCGCGGGGGCGGCGGGGCCCGACCGTGCTCCCGCAGGCGGCGGCCGGGAGGAGGGAGGGAAGGAGGGAGGAAGAGAGGGAGCCACCAGCCCCAGCATCCTCCTCCTCCTCCTCCTCTTCTTCTTCCTCCTCCTCCTCCTCCGCCGGTCCCGCCCAGCTCGCTCCGTCCCGGCTCGGCCCCGCAGGGAGTGGCAGGGGCTGCAGCCGGCGGTGGCACGGAGGGTCCCGCTCCCTCGGGGGGGCTGCCGGAGGGTAAGAGGGATGGCGAATTGGGGGGGGGGGACACACACTGCGGGGAGAGGGGACCGTGGGGATGGGGAAGCGGTTGTGGAGCCCACGCCGCGCCGGCAACAAAGGCGGGGATGAATGAAGGCGTTGCGGGAAGAGCCGGGGGTGTGCGGCGCTGTCAGCCCCGCCGGGGCTCG